CACAAACTCTCAAATTGTAAACTCACATTGTATACCTTAACATTATAAACTCTAACAATATAACCTTCAAACTATGAGCTATACACTGTAACGCTTAAAAATAACACTACAAACTAGTGTTATAGTAAACTATAATGTTGTGAACTCTAACAATATAAGCTAACAGCGATACATTATAACGCTATAAAATAACATCATAAACAAGTGTGATATTCGAATCTCATTCGATTTCTTTGCTTCACACCGTGGTCCTCTAAGAATCACACTATGCTCGTGAGTATGTAACATGTCTGTATGTAATATGCATGAATGTAATATGTATGTATAAGGCGGCTCAGAAGCAGAGGTCAATGCCATTTCGAGAGGGAACTTGATGAGGTCGGAACCTCGACTCGTCGCTCTGCTGATCGCCCTTCAACCGCGAGACAACGCAGCCTGGCGAGCACAATTGCTGTGTCGACAGTTAGGCGACTTTGCGTCGGGAGAGTTCGTGGCGACATCTTCAGACGGGTTCCAGACATCGATATACCGTGAATCTCCAAGTAGGTGTCTATTTTCGCGGATAAACTCTTAAACGTGTTCGTCGTCAAATTAGCAGGATTTTTTTGCGTCTCGGTTAGACGCGAGTGTCGTTCTTGTTTTAGCAGTTAACAAAATCCAAAACGCTAAACATCCTTGCGGCCGATAGCGTACTTTTGACTCAATAACACCGCTGCTGTTACTACGCTCACATGGAGCAGAGACGCTCTCCACAGCCCCACGCACACGGAGGAAAGAAGCAATTCAATTGCTCTGTGTGTGGGAAGTCCTTTTCACGGCCATCAGATCTTCAGAGACACCAGAGAACACACACGGGCGAGAAGTCGTTCCTGTGTTCTGTGTGTGGGAAGACATTTGCACACTCATCACATCTTCAGAGTCACCAGAAAACACACACGGGTGAGAAGCCATTCCTGTGCCCTGTGTGTGGGAAGACATTTGCACAATCGACAACTCTTCAAACTCATCAGAGAACGCACACGGGCGAGAAGCCATTCCAGTGCCCTGTGTGCGGGAAGACATTTGCACAATCGACAACTCTTCAAACTCATCAGAGAACGCACACGGGCGAGAAGCCATTCCTGTGCCCTGTGTGCGGGAAGACATTTGCACAATCGACAACTCTTCACACTCATCAGAGAACGCACACGGGCGAGAAGCCATTCTTGTGCTCTGTGTGTGGGGAGGCATTTTCACAGTCATCAACCAGGAACAGGCATCAGAAGGTCCACAATGATAGGAAACTGAAATCAAAAGCTGAAATTCAAGGTGCTGCAATGAGTTCTAAAGAAGTTTCCACCTTCGATCCCATGCAGTTGGATCCCGAGAGATGGCTGGATGTAATGGAGTGGCTCGAGAGTCAACCAGAGAGCTCGGGGTGACTGAAAAAAAATTACGTCATGTGGTTATACCTTTTAAATCCGTATCGAGTACTTTTGTGTATAATTTTGACCATTTTAGTTTTACAGTTTTTGAGAGTTTAATGACGTGCACAGTGGTGGTTTGTAATGTTATCGGATTACTTGCCGAAGTGGTGTGATGAGCACTGGTTGTGAGAGGGTTCAATTGTAGTCGTTAAGTGTTCCTGTTGAGCTAAAGTTGGAATGCGTCTGTAGTTAGATCTTTACTCAACATTTTAAACGATTTTTTTTTCAAGTATATAGCTGTATTAATCGACTTTAGATAGCTGTTTTCAGGATGTACATTGATGACGTGTTCGTTGGATATATGGCCTTGACTTCAACATAGACGCACAGTGAACAAATGTGGTGAACTAATAAGGAAATAATGGGGAATGATACTTTAACGCTTTGGTATTCCTGGAACGGATATGGTTTGCATTGTACTGGAAATGTGTGAACATAGGACATAATAAATATTCCATTCGAGTTTTGACCTAAAAATTATTGCAGATGAATAAAAACGATTTTTTAACAAATGTTTGTCCGGTCTTTATTTATAATGTTCCTAGCAAAAACATGTTAAGATAATTTCAAATGGAGTATCTCCGTCACACAAGTATGTCGGGGATAAACTGTTCTCTATAACATGTCAACTGTAATACTATGAACGATAATACTAAACATTAAACGATTATAAACTAGTGTTTCAATTTATAACCATTTAAACGGAGCTAAGGTATTATAATATCATTAGAAGCATTAGAATCACAGTGTGGTCGTATAAGAATCGCTAATATGTATGTATAGTGTACGTGCAAGGATCGGATAAAAAATTATTACAATTACAACATGGTCATATTACAATCACGATTTTCACTGCTAGATGTCATCGATTAACAAGACGGAATATATTTATATAAATACACGCGCAAACCCATTATAAACGCATGCGATCAATAATCGTTACAATTTTATAACAATCACAAATTGTAACAAAGCGAAATTCCCACAAGCAAAACACCACGCTCACGTGACGAATTCTTAAAGAAACTGCAACACTCAAGTGACAGAACTCAACAAAAAAACGCCGCAAAAAAAACAACATCAATGGGCAAGTCTTAAAAACAGAAAACACACGCACGTTAGCAGCTGTTAGAAGAAGACAACACCTAGCACCTTCAACTATACACATTATACATCCAACTCGTAAATGGGGCGGTATATGACAGCCTTCGCTGCTGTCGACGGGGCCAAGCAGCGAGTGTTTAACTCCATTGTTTCAGAATCCGTGTCATCACCCGGCCACAACGCCTTAGCCAAACTACATCGTCCCAACAAGGCAGCCTTCCCTATGCTGTGTATCTTAGCAGTATATTTACGGACGCACTTGAAGATAACAATTCGTCTAGAAAAGGCACGCGACTTGTACTACCAACATGATTTCTATTTATATCCGAAATTAGTATGAGTTGATTCATGAGTAGTATTCACTAAGCCCCGATGGCACTAACCTACACACAGTTATGATTAAACAAAGTAAACAGTAGTCGCTCATCCCAGCTCAGACAAGATCTTAGCAGTTATTTCCAAATCCGTGTCGGGTCCCACGAGAACAGGGCACGTCCACAAACTCTGAAATTGTAAACTCACACTGTATACTCATTACAAACTCTAACAATATAACCTTTAAACTATGAGCTATACATTGTAACGCTTTAAAATAACAATACAAACTAGTGTTATAATAAACTATAATGCTGTGAACTCTAACAATATAAGCT